GCTCGAGTCTGAACTGCCAAAAAAGTTTTCCAAAAAAACGTGCGCAATGTATTCGAATTCTTTTTGCGAGATTTTGTGGTAGTGACAGTAGAAGTAAAAGTGGTCGGTTTAATGTAGTTCTGTGGTGAAATTATTGCCAACTGTTTCACAAACTCATCATGATCTATCAGTTGTTGTCTCAGTAATACAAACGATACTGCAAGTTGCAACAATTTCTGTTGTTCCAGCGATTCTTTTGCCTGGGTAATCATTGCCGAAGCAATCAGATCGCAGGGTATACCATAGTTACCAGTACCAATAGCTGGAAATGCTATAAAATAGAGTGAAAACCGACGTAAGGCCTTAATGAATTCGATAATCGGATCTAATATGTTCAGGCAACTTTCTGTCCCGGTTCGATCAGAAAGTAAGGAGTACGTAATTCAGCGGAGCAGCACTATTTTTTTCGGAAGAACATATACACGGTCGGATACAGCTCGTCGAGCTGCGTCAAAATATGTGTGCTTTATGCTTCTGAAAAAGTGTTTTGGGAGTCGAAACTTCAAAAAACTGAAGAATTTCAGCATGTTCAAAACACGCTTAAATTCCAGAAAACATCGCATAGTTTTGTTCTGAATGACTATGAAGCCTCGAAACGCTGTGTTTCCCTCATTCCTCGTTCGAAGCGTAGTAATATAAACTAAGTTCCAAGTTTCAAGACCGAAAAACCCATCTTTGCCGCACAGTCAACGCGGCGAGGCTCAGTACATCAGATCGTCATCTCAAAAAACTCTCCAGTTTTTCGAGTTAAGAGACAGAGACTCGATTTTCGTGCAATTGTAAATTTATCCATCATCATCTGTAGAAAAATAGTGCGCGTGATTTCTGCTGAAATTCTTTCGCATTTCTGAGATGATCGAATATAGTTCTTTTTGTCATTAATCGGGCAAATGATTCGACAATCAATGACCCGATTGTTGTTGAAACTTCATGAAAACTTGCATTTCTGGTAAAAGATGATGATAATTTCGCAGTTTTTCAGCGTCTTGAAAGTTTTCTAGACTGAGTTTGCAGAAATCCTTCTGAACACTTTTTTTATGAAAATCATGTAAATCTATAGGAAATTGAGTTTTAAACGTGATCAGACCTTTCTGAGCTTTTGGCAAGATTTAGTTCTCCAGTTATAGAGCTTTTCACAGACAATTTGAGGACTCAACCGATTTTTGGAGCTTTCGCAACATTTACAAATTAAGAAATTGTTCGAAAAGTCTCCTTACGTTCAAAATGCAACTTTTCTATCGATTTTAGAATATTTCCCAAGAATAAGCGTTGAGAAGGATTTCTGAAAACTCGGGTGTTTAGAAAACCACTTGGAACAACTGTAGAGATCCCAAGAGGGTATTCATCGGATTTATCATCATCTCTTATCTATAAATCCAAGTTTGAGCAACTATTGTCGCATTGATTGCCGTCTCACTTGGTCGATTATGGACAAAAACAAACTATATTAAACAATCTGAGAGATGTGAAAGAATTTCACAAAATAGCACGCGTACTTTTTTCTACTGATGATGACGAATGGCACAAAAATCAAGTCTTCATCTTTTAACTGGAAAAACTAGATAGGTATTTGAGATGTGCTTGCTGTGTTTTGACTTTTGAGCCTTGCTGCATTGATCGCACGGTGAAGTCAGATTTTCGGCCTTGAAGCTCAAACTTAGTTTGTACTACTAAGTTTGGAACCAGTGATCAGAAAAACATTGTTTCGAGGTTCTACAGTCATTTAGAACAAATTATGCGTTGTTTTCTGAGATTAAGGCGTGCTCTGAGCATTTTGAAATTCTTCGTTTTTTTGTAGTTTTCTTCAGGAAGTGACCGGTTTAGGAGCTGAAGCACACCTATTCGCGTGCAACTCGACAAGCTCTGTCCAACATATATTAATTATTCAGAAAACAAATAGTGCTATTCGTTTGAATTACGTGCACCTTAGTAGAATGCGCAATCGCATTTAATTGAATGTAGGACTCGATACCGGAAGTTGTCGGCGGCAATTTCAAAACAGCACCTAGGCTCCGTTAACTGATGCCGATCTTTTGTTTAGGCAACTCTCGATATGAACTGGCCGATCGAACCGTATCGGAAGTCTTCAGGTCCGAGCGCAAGTCTTACTAATCCGACTCTTATATCCTTACCAATACTCTTGTAATTACTAGCAAATGCAAAGTCAATAGCCGTTTTAACAAAGTGTGACACACTGTGACGCGTTAGACTCTGATCAGCCGCTGATGCTAAGGACGGCACTGGTTTCCACGGTAGAAATAATATTTTTTTGCATTTTAAGTAGCCAGGTGATGTTGCGATGTCACAAGGTTGTTGCGATAGCTTTTGTCGGGCATTGTTGCCGGTGTTATACTCATCCGCTACCTGTAAACCAGCTGCTTTTAAAATTGTCGATTTCAATACATCAGAATTTGAACAAACAACAATGATATCGGCCTAGGAAAAATAACTAATATCGGTTAGGCTCCCTACAGGATGGGGTGTATGACGAAACATACTTTCTCAGTCGTCAAATCACCTAAGACGACTTTAATTTCGCTCCTGTTTATCTTCGTGCATCCGTCCTCTTCGCTCTTATCCACGGCATTTGCTTCTGTTGGTTGATCTGCATATTCGGTTGCGAGTGTTGTTGGCACATTAACTGACACTTTCTGTACAGCAGTTTTCATTTCCAAGTGACAGCCATATGGTTGTGCTATCAAAACTAATTTTGAATAAAATTCTTTTTCATTCGCCAAATTACAGTCACTTAAATCAAATGCCTCTGAATTGACACTTGCATAGTCTAACAGACGTGGTCTTAACAGCTTTTCGAAAATATCTCCACTCGAAACAATTTCATTTACAGGTAGTTTCGACAGGATATCGACACCATCATCTTTATATCGACTTTCCAGTTCTTGTAATTGTTGGTAACAAATCGTTAGTAGATACTTGATCTAAGATCGATATAAAAAGAAATTTGCAGAAAGAAATCAGGTCTTTTCTATTCTGTTCGCCCATCACTATAGATTTCGAACTTAATTACAACGGTCCATAGTGCGCAGCAACCTCTGCTACTAGTAGTGCCAAGTTATACACCATTCGGCGTAGTTTTTTGCGCTGATTCCGACTATACGATCGGTTTTTAATTTTAATATTCCTGAACTTAGAAAATCTGCATTTATCTCAAAAATCGAAGGTTTTGAGACAACCTTTAACTCGATCCAGTAGGATTTATTTCATTCACTTAGGACGGTACTCAGAAAAGAACTTCCTGAGACAGTTAAAGCATATCACCTACCATTCAAATCTCGCAAAAGCGCACTTTCCTTTTTTCCACTAAAGTTCACGTTGTTGCCTACTGTGTATTGGTGCATGCCTAACCACAATGCCTTTCTACATAAAAAACAAGTTGAACTGCGCGGTCTGTACAATCTTTACCATCTCAGGAGTAACAGGAGCGTGGCATCTCGATGAACGCCTTCACTGTCAGTTTGTTCACTTTCCGCTCGGTTCGGACTGTATCTAATTGCAGCTAGACAAAGAATCACGTACTTGTAATTGTGTGAAATTGACTTTATGTCGCATCAGCTGGAAACTCTCTTTTAATTTTTCAAACGACTGTTGACTTTGTACTACGACTCCAGGTTCTCCAAATAGGAGGGCACGTTGCTCCTGCTCATCGACTCTCAACAGACATATATTTTGATTATAATCCGCGCGTAAACGAATTGCTTCCTCCAAGGATACTAATGCTTTTTTAAAGTTGGCAGTAGCATTTTTGGGCAGACTGGACGATGAAGCAAACAAAAGTCGGTTGTTTTTAAGAATCAAGTCATCCAACTGTTGTACACTCGTACCAAACTCGGTATTATTTGTGTTATTAAAAATACTGACATTCAAACTGCTTTTTGAATGCTGACAAAAACAGATAATATTGGCACTATTCAAATAAAATTGAATCACGTTGGAACTATCGGGTATTTTAATCCAACCACCTAAGGAAAATGGAGTAACAGAAACAGCGGGGCATGTTAGTACGTGCTCGGCAAGCCAGTGGATTCAACTATTATAGTTCGCACCTCTTCGTAGCGACTATTCTATTACAGACGCTGTCTTTGGCAAGTTAGAGTGATACGAGCCCGCATGTTTGAATTGACCTTTCGTCAGCCCAGTAGCGAACAAGCCAGTAACATAAGAAAAATTAACGTTAGCTTTTATGTTATTTTCAGTTTCTACAATTAAAACCAAGGTTATGAAAAAAACTTACGATCCTAGACTTCAATTTGACTGAGTTATAGAATTTTCGAAATGATGACCATCAGGATAAGCTTTGTTGTGGCAACGTTCAACAAGACGTTTTGCATATTTCAGTGACTTTTGATTCACAATTGTTGCTGTAGACGGATCTGTATCACTAATTCGACATTGATTTTTATTTGAATGACCGAGTTCACGTGCTAACTCGAAAGGAGATAGATTTGGAGGAAGGCCAAATATTTTTATACAATAAGTTTCGAGAGGACCTTCAAGCCAAATATAGAATAGTCGATTAGTTTTAACCTACAGCGTTAGATACCCTCCCAACATATTTTTCAATTTTATGTCAAACGTTTCTCCTCATTTTAAGAATTATTTTTCCATAAGTTCAAGCAGGACAGCCGGTGAAGTGTTTCAAAAGTACCTTGTTTACGCGTCATTTTGTTTGTCTCTCTGTCGAGTATATTCAAGTAAAATATGAACATCTGAATGCATCACCACGTACAGAGCTTACAAGTTTCGCAGCACCTTCGCGCAGGTCTGGGCGCGTGTCTTAAAAGTCCTTGCCGATCTTCTTCTGCAGTAGATTTTTAAAAAGTTAGAGGCACGAATACTGTAACAGAAACACACAATTTCAAACTTTTACATTTAGAATGCCGTTGCCGGATACCGAAGTATGTCGGTGATGTTAAAAATAAAATTTTGCTCGATGCAACATCCTACTGTGTGTTAGCGATCCACATGGGGATAGCGAACAATGTGTGCTGGTACAGAAAATATCCTGAATTTTGCGTCAAATTGAAATCTGACTGAAAAAAGTGAGAATCATTAAATATGGTGACTGATCGGTACTTTTTAGTTGCTGGTCAACCTTTCGCCAAATACCTGCATGCAATTGTCATCAGAATTCAATTAGGAATACAACAAGGTATTGTACTTGGGATCTGAATGAAAAAACGTTTTTCGTCTCAGAAACCCAACCAATGTAGCATCATCTGTTGATCTGAAAATTTTCTACTTGAATTCTGGTGACAATTGCAAGCAAATAAACCTCCGAAAAACAAAACACAAAAATTACAACAAAAAAATATACATTGAAGGATAACATCGAGTCATTGCCGAATTTTAATCATTGTGCAGAATATAGGAAAGAACAGCGAAGTTGATTTCTGCAGTTCGTCTGCAAAGATCAAGTTCGTGTGTTCGATCCTAGCTTCGTGTAAAAACTGATTTTGTGTTTTGATAATTTAAGTTGCAGAATGATATAATGGGAATATATGTTCTCGATCTTTTTCTGGTTCGAGATTAAAGCTTAAACCAAATAACTATACAAGATCCTCAACAGCCAATAGGATGTCAAAGAGAAAGATATTTGAGTCAATATCACTGGCATACCTCGGTATCCGGTTAACGGCACCCAAAATGTGGAAGCATGAAATCGTTTATTTCTGTTAGAGTATTCGTTTGTCTAACTTTTAGTAAAAGACTTAACTCAAAAGGTTCCCCATGAACAAAGATCGGCAAGAAAACTTGTAAGCTCCGTAACTCCTCTTCGTGGACGATTCAGGTGCTCATATTTTACCTCGACAGGCATATTGAGGCAGAAAAGAAGCTACAGACGAGATACTTTTGAAATACCTCAGGCTGACCTGCCTGAACTTATCGAAAAATCAATCTTAAGCTACACTTCCCCCAAAGTTGTAGCGCAGAACACGTTAATATTTAAAAATAACAGCATGATTCGAGATGAGCTAAAGTATCGGTCAGCCGATTTAATAAATAATGAGAAGAAACGATTAGACTAGTACTTATGGTCATCTTTATCAATGGCCGATCTATTAGTCCACTCACCATTCTGTCTGATACGTAATTTTTCATCCTTAATGTTTTGTGGATGTCCGTAAGGACAATCGAAGGGACACTGGATGCTATCAGCAATGCACATGATATGTTTCCAGTTGCACTGATCATGGCTTTTCGTACATTTTCCAATTCGAAAATCTCTACAGAAGTGTTGTTGTTCGATTTCCGTCTCACATCGAATCGATTTTCCCCGAATTCTCTTGGAATTTAGGTTTGCTACTAATTGATCGGCCACCAACTTTCGTTCAGAACGACGTATCCAACATTCATTTTTGGAGGGATTCATGAGTATATCACCGATTGAATAACGAAGATTTTCGGATAGATATTCAGCTGTAACATCGTCAGATAAATTCGTAATATGAACTGAGTATGTTTCATATTTGTCATTGTCAGGGACGGTAGTCGGCAAGGCATTATTCATCCTCACAGATGACGTGGAACGACGAAATCTGGTTCCTGCTGATGAATCGCGTACTAAAATATCTAACACATATGCCAGACTAAACACTTCGAATGTCGATTCTGTTTTTATTCGAATACTGTTTTTGGAACTGTTTGACTGACAAGCAGAAACAAATCTCTCCCAAACATCCCAGCTTTTGGCAAAATGTCTGTAGCTTTAGTTTTCTGTTTAGATATAAGCTTAGATACAATTCTGCTCGGGAAAGACGCAACAAGGACAACGAGAATGAGGTTTTGTGCTACTCCTTCAGTTATATAGGAAGTTTCAGTTTTATAATCAAAAACGCGCGCTTTTTTTTTCGTCGTTACTTTACCACCTCCCCTGTCCTGACGCACCATCTGAAAGCGGCAGCCTCTTACAGTTACAGACACCATCTCTTAGCTTGAAAGACAGATCCTCTTCATATTGTACTCTCCATCTGTACTCTGTTTTTGTGTTTACTCCCGCTTGCTGTTTTCTGCTCTATTCTCCTTAACACATTGATGACCGGTATTTACAACGGACGAGCTATAAGGACGAGTTTTCTCGTCACCGGTCATCAATGTGTTAATAATCCTTGATGAATATTTCATGCGAATTAAGCAAAAATCTCACGAAAGGGAGTTTCAACTTTTAGCGCCATTAGACTCTACACTGACAAGGGTTTTAGTAAGGCGCCGCTAATTCAAAGTACATACACAATTTTTTGGTTTAAAAACACGCGGTTGGATAGCCCCGAAGCTGAGGATCACGAATATGCTAGTCTTAGCTTCTTTACTGCACTTCTCTATAGAGAAAAGTTCAAAACAGTGCGAAGGATTATACTTCCGACAAATTGCTAGGTTTGTATAAAAATTCGATACCTCCGTCCCTGAGCACGTTAGAACCTCAAGAAGGTACTTTAGGATTCACCGTTCGAAGTTTAACTCAAAAGAAGACTTTTTGGGCGGGATTTTGGAATGAGAGTGCCAAGAATGCGACTAGGTCCGTTTGCAAACTTATCTCCTCGTGAAAGGTAGACCCTTCATTTTTATGCCATTAGTTTCTACTTGAAATGTACTTCAGCAGCACGAAGAGCTTTTTTTGAAATTCCGTTCCGTTGAGGTATTCGAGTTTTATTAGGAATTAGACGCTTTTGACCGAACTCGGGCGCTTAATTTGCTCACAAAACTGACATTTTTATCCAAATAAGCTTGAAAAGTCGGTTTTTATCCAAAAAAATGACGACATATCCGATGCAAGCATTTTCAGGTACTTCAGAAACTTTCCAGGTGGTTGTCTAGAAAACCGGGTTTCCAGGAAAGCTTTTAAAAACCGAATTTTTTGTAAAAATGACTAGATTGATAGGAAATTGAATTCTGATCAAATTCAGACCCTGCTGAACATTTTGTGATGTTGAAGAAACTTCTAACTGATTTTCTGATCTCTACGAGGTCTCACAGGACAGGGATAGCCCGAAATGGTCTCATTTTGATCTGAATTTAATTCTCTATCCATCCAGATAATTTTAAAAAAAATCCAGTTTCAAAAATGATCATTTTTCGGCGAGAAAACCTAAGTTTCATCATTTCTATTTGCAAATCTGATGAGTGATTTCGCCCATAATCGTCTCACTTTCGATGATAATTAAATATCTCGAGAGAACGAAAAGGAATTTCGAAAAAGCCCTTCGTATTGTTGAAGCACATGTCAAGTCTGGTGCGAATGGCATAAGAATGAACGCTCTTTCTCTTCACAGAAAAAACTAGGCAAGTTTGCAAGATGATTCCCCTATCATTTTTATTGCTCTCATTTCAAAATCCCGTCCAAATCACACTTTTGAGTTGGAGTTTTAAAAGATAGTGTTCTATAATCAGTTTCCATCGGTGAATCCAAAAAATATTTTCCTCAGGTACTGCAATGCTCATGGACGGAGGTATTGAATTTTCTTGCAAAACTAGCAATTTTTTGTAAAAATTGCCCCTCTCAATGTTGTGAACTTTTCTCTAGAAAGAAGTGCACTAGAGAGTCGAAAAAGGTGATATTCTTGATCCTTAGCTTTTGGCCTATCCAACCATATGTGTTTAGACCAAAAAACTTAGTGTATGAACTTCGAATTTGCGGCGCCTTAAAAACCGTAATTTTTACCTGTTGTTTCATGTGCGTCACTACGCAACTTCGAAACTAATCTTGAGCGATTGCGAGTTCGAGTTGTGAGGACATTGCAACTTTCACTAGAACCCATAGTTCTTGCCTGGTGTTTTAAAGTAATATCATTTTGATCTGTAGCCTTTTCATCGTTCATATAATTATGCTTTACATCGCCTTCTCCTTGTGGACTTGATGGTGCAATGGCACCTCTTCCTCCCTTTCGTACGTCAATACTAATCCGTTTGATTTTGTGCGGTCGATCCAAAAGTATTTTATATATCGGATCGGATCTAACAGTTTAGAAAAGCAAAGCTCTGAAGTGTTTTTCGAAACTCCAGTAGAATCAAACTTACTGATTGTATTCGACAAGTGCACATCCGTTTTCTTTCACCAGATGAAAATTGACAATTGTACCATAAAAGTCAAAGTATTGTCGAAAGTCTTGTTCGTTCAGTGAACTTGAACAACTATTTACACGTATTTGTCGTAGGAATACAGTACGTACAACATGTTTATCACTCTCATCGTCACCACTCGATGAAGTTGATCGGTAGAAAACGAGTGGACCATTCGCTGAAGGATAGTTAAAGGTAAGAATGGCCGGTCAGGTTAAGTTACCGACCGTCCACTAAGTGCAGAGCTTACCCCAATTGGTGGTATCTGTTGGTGTTCCAGTTTGACTTGCGTTTGTTGGTCGAAATGTGCATTTTTCTACTCTTCTTCTGCCTCTTCTACCACCGCGAAACATTTCCTGTACAATATAGATCTGGCTATCGAGTCAATTAAAGAAGAAAAAGTAAATGTTTCGACGGCGAAGATCACTTCTCCCTTACACGAGCTGTTATCACTAAGTTCTAAACGTATATTATTCTGTATGTTCTTATTTTTTTACAAAAACTTCGTTTAAAAGCAGGAGAATCATACTTTTTTGTTCTTGTTTTACACCTTTGCTAAGCAAAAATGTGAGTTCTACTTCATTGTAACAGACGTGAAAGGAAAAAGAAACAAAAAAGTACCTGCCATCCATTCACATGATTATAAGAGAGAACAGAACGAACTGGTGTCCTCTCGGTTCGTCCCTAATTGGCTTTGTAAGATCAAACAACATTAAAGGTGACATCAAAAGTGAGAGTGAGCAATTAGGGACGAATCGAGAGTAAACAGAACGAACTATACTTTTTTTACCTGTTCTGTAATTGACAGAAAGATAGAGCTGATTCACAGCTATTTGGTAATCGAGAGTTTCTTGAGGCGGAAAGTGGTTTCGATGCAGCGAATCGATCAGTTTTATAATGCTGTCAGCATGTAGTATTTTTGTAGACAAGAATTGTTCTTTGCATCCGATGCAGACGGTAGAAACGTCATAGTGAAAGAAATCTTTCAAATTTGGTGAGTACTGCGAGAAAATGCTTGCAGAGCTGTGGGGTTGGGCAACTCCAACTCCGGAGTTGGGCGAGTTTTAAGTGGGGTTGGCTTCAGAAGAGTTAGAATTGGAATTTTTGAGCACAGAGTTGTGTATTCATTCTTATTCTCAACTCCGTGTAATTGTTTTTGTTACGCTTTCTCTTCTTCCAAAAAGAGTGACGCATACATAGGAAAATAATCACTGTGGTTCTTTTTTCGACATGTGAATATACGACAGAATTCATATCACTCTCATGTGTCAGACGTTTGCGTATGTGTGACTTCGTTTCTTTCTTAGATTCTGTTTTGCCTATTCATGCTTTTGTACATTGACTGTACACTTCTTCATCAGCATAGATTTCATCATCTTTTTCGTAGCTATATAAAGAAGGAAAAAAAGCAAAAAAAAATAACCGAAGTTGAAACGGAGGTGCGAATTTTTGAAACGGAGCTGGCGTTGGATCGCAAATTTAAAAAATGAGCTGGAGTTAGAGTTGAGCTGGAGTTGAACTTCAGCGGTTGCCCGGCCCTGCAGAGCTGCTTAAGCGGCATGAATCATCATTCATTAGGCAAGATCGAAACAGACCGTCAGAACCAAAGGAAGCGCATTTGTAAACCTGTCTAGTTTTTTGTATCAACAGATGGAGACTTCGTTTTCAGGCCGTATGATCCGCCTAGAATCGGACAAGAAAAGTATGCTCTCCTTTTTCCGATATTGCCTTCATGTACCTCTGATATACTTCATGGCCCAGTCCACATACACGCCATCCTCTGGCAGTGTTTGTAATAGTTCTTGACGACACAAGTCTTGATTGATCGAGCGGAACTGATGAGCCTTCCAGGCTGAAAGATCCATTTCTCCAAATTTTATTAAACAACTGTCTCCTCGAGCTCCGAACGTAATTTCAATTCTGATGTTTAATCATAGAGATTCCTGTGGCCACCTAGATGAGATTTTTTTTCGTTGCCTTGGAATGCCTCTAAAACAAGTAGGAGTTTGATATTCAATGCACTATTAGCGATTGGAATGAAATGCATATACTCGTCACTTGCATGATAATTATTTTCGAATTCGTCAATTTTTTTTTGTTCTATGGTATTATCTTTATAGTACCAACGACATTCATTGATCATCTCTTTTTTTGCATCCTCCGAATGACTCATACCTAACAAAATGTCGATAAGTAGTTGAAAGCATAGGAATGCGTCTGATTCTTTGCTTACGCTACGTATAGAATTCTCTTCAGTATTCGAACTGAATATGCTAATAGGTGGCAAAAAAGATTGTATTTCTGTTAATTTTCGGGTTTCACATGCGTCGGCCGAAATTGTTGGTATGGATGGTTGTACCTCGTAATTTCATCAACTAGAATCGCATACAGGTCATTATATTTTATAAAAATCCTGCAAATCTCATCATTGCAATCGAGCTATGTTTTAGAATTGACACTGTCTTGTGTCTGCTGAACATAAACTCTTCTAATTTTTTCTTGTTTTCGAATGCAAGCCACAATTGGTACATATGTGGGATGTGATACAATACAAATTATTTTCTGGTTGATAAATGACTTTTTAAACGAGTCTATCTGGTCAAAGAAAGCTATATGATCATCAACTATTCTCGGCATGCTAAAAATAGACTTTAGACGCTCTTCGATTTTCAAATAACTTTGTATGTTAATATCAAGATCATGTAACCAAAGTAGAATAAATGGTTCAGGTATATTTTCCTTATCATAACAGTCTAATTTTGTTTCAGGAGTGTACATCTTGAAAACAATTAAATATAGTATCGGCCAGTCATATGCTGACGAGAGAGCGTGAAAGCACTACGCTTTAGCTACTAGAAGCGTGGATTAAAAAATCCCAAAAAGGTTTATTAGGGCGAGAAGTATTTTCATAAGACTACTAAACCGAAAAGACTTTAGTAATCATTTGGAAAATTCTCGTTGAACCATTCTGAAACTCCTTTTTCACTCTAATAAGTCTTTCTAAAACAGAACGGGAATTTCACCCTAGGCTTTTTTTCACAGATATATATATACACTTTTAGTGGGTGAGTGTCTCTCTAAAATTTTTGGTTTGGTAGTTGTCAGAGCTGATGTGCTGCAAACATTTTTAATAACGGGATGTAACTGTCAACACCGTTACAAGCGTTTCTGGAATCAGGTGCAACCAGCAATTTTTGCCCATTCGGCTCAGGTCGAAAGCTAGACGACGCTGCAAAAACCAATTTATTTAGCAAAAGAACCAGAAAATCTACAAAAAGTGTACTGACAGCTCTCTTATGTCACAGCAGAGCGGTAATAAGTATTTTGTCAAATGTCATACCAAAACTTTAAGCAAAAATGTCAGATACACTCATCGTTCATACGTTCATGTTTGACATATGCCAAGTTATGTCAAATATGAATGTATAAATATTGAATGTGGGTGGGGGAGGGACGGTTGGCGGGAGAGTGAGTTATTAGACGATATTTTTTTAGGAGGCATTGTGGGTGCATCTGATAGAGTAAAGTATGTGTTAATTGTGTGATGCAATGATTGTAAAATTGCTACAATAAGGTTCGTCATTTTTGTCTGACATGACCGCCCTCTCTCAGAGTGAAAATTAGATGAAAAATTTTACAGAATTCTACAATGGACAATATCTGCCACTTTAAGGATCGAGAGAAAATGAAAAATAACGCCGATAAACGCCTGTTTTTCAACAAGCTTTTCGAAAAACTTTCCGCGCGTCAAAAAGTTCTCTGCAGCATCCGCCGGTGCAAACGGGTAGCTTATACCATTATCCGTCCAATGCATCAGATAAGTGTAGTCAACTCTGGAATTGTAAGTTACCTTCAGACAGATCTAACGCAATCGGAGGTGGTGACTAGGCGATCCAATGAACATTCGTATACATCATACAGAATGAAAAGCAAGTTTGAAACATAACGTTATTATCATTTACAAAACAGCAAATACGGTATTATTTTACAAACCAATATAATTATGATAAAAACGCATGTATTTCTAGCTACTCACTCATACTGTTTGGATTGTTGAGAGTTTTCTGATGCTCTCTTTCTGTCGCATCAAGTGCTTCACGACAATAATATAACGCTTTCTCGTAATTTCCTTTCATCCCATAAACAATTCCGATGTTATTAACAATTATACTTCTGGTATTGTTGCTGTTTATTAGCAGGTCATTAAGGAAATACTGTTCAGCTTTATCAGTTTCGCCTATTGCAGCTAGAAAGTTACCAGAAGTTAGTCTTGTTACATCTTCTCCAATTACGTTCATGTATCGTTCCTTCGATAAACCTTTCAGTTCTTCCTCTTTTTTGCCGTAGTTAAGCTGTACAGACTATACATGAGCTTTTATCAATTTGACATCACGAATCTTGGACACACATCCTATAGAAAATAATATCTCGTCTTTGTCTTCAGCATTTAAACTAGAAAATGTTTTCATAGCCCTTTTTACGTCGATGTCTATTTCTAATATTATGGATTCAAAAGCCGAAAATGCTGAACCATTACCAGCGTAGGTGCGAGCAACGTTCAGTAAACGTGTAGTTGACAAAAACGAATTTATCAGAACAAAGCCGCCAATATTGTTTTTCAACAATTCCAATTGATCCCTTGCCATTAGTTGACCACAATAAGTAATTAAGTGATCTTGATCTAGTAATGATGCAATAAATGACTGATAGGACTGCTGTGTTTGATTGTGAAGTTCAATAATAAAGTAACGCAATTTGAATAGCGTGGTAACATTTTCTGTTCGAAAAGCTGTATTGATCAGCCAATGAAACGATCTGTGCAACCTTGTGCTCCAGTTAACGGCTATACAAATGTCAGTGAGGTCAGAATCTTTTGATTCGAGACGTTCGAGTAATTCATGTAACATTTCTTCTTTCGCAGCCTCTGTTAGTGGCATTTGAAGTAATACATCTATTAATAATTGGACCAAATAAACTGACTTTGTTCTTTACTTGAGTATTGAACTGGCATGTTGGTTATTTCGTTTTGATTGAAGACATTAATAGGGATAATGTACAGTAATTGTTTTGAAAACTGTTCAATATCTTCAATCAATAATTTCTCTAACTTCAAGAAGTCAGAAAAATTTCCGCGAATTTTCTCCTTGGGAAACGTCAAAGCGTCTGAGCACATATGTAAGTATATGAATTTAATCTGAAATAGTTGCAGCATACGAAAAATAAGATCATCAGTTGCACTGGAGATAATTAAAAACACTTTTTCTGTTTGATTTGTGATGTATGTAATACATTTATTTATATTAATAAACGTTCTGCATGTGTAAACACAGATCAATGTATCAACTTTGTCAATAGGCGTGTTGAGCGTTACAATGGTGGAATTTGTAACGACTTTTTCTAGATTCTTATGATGGAACGATGCAGATTTTAGAATTGCTGCTGGAGTCACTAAGCTTACTTCTAATAGTACATATGTAGTTTGTCGATAGATACATGCTAACCGGCATATTGTGCACGTCCACTCCCAAAGGCCTTTTGTAATGGTTGAAAGATTAGTACTAAGAGCCGAAAACAAATCGTCTATTTTTTCAAAAACATCGCTAATTTTCGAAAATTTACTCAAGCAACTCGTATCTTGTCCGTGTACATAAATAGCTTCGATTTGACTTTAATTGTAGATAAGAGGAAGAATTATATTAACGTAAGTCAACGATAAAACTAAAAATATTCGTTTACTATACATTGAGAATATATTAATAATACATTCGAACTCATTTTCAGGGAATTTTACAAGGTAATCATGTAGAAGATCGGTATTATTTATATCATGATCGAACCATATTACTACAAAATCTTCTTTGCTACAGAAGTTTTCGTTGTATATTAAACATGTATGCATTTGATTTCCGGTATCTGTGTGAAAAACAGACAACTCAAATGATAGCTGAGAACTTACTCAGTAGAATGGCAAATGTACATGCCATCAAATTTATTTCCAATGGCATCTAACAAATAAGCAAAATATCACACCGAATTTAAGCCCCATCCTCTCCCTCCAGGTCAGAAATGCCGATTTTCGTCAGGAAAAATCGATTCTGAGAAAAGCACACGGTTGGATAGCCCGAAGTGTCTATTTTCTAATGGTATAGTTTTTTCTGTCAATAGGATAGGTTTTTCAAAGGTTTTGAGCGAGTTTTCAGAATTCCTATAGCAAAAAAAAATGGCTTTTTTGCACTTGCATTGCATAAGCTCACGCTTGTGCCGTACATGTTCATTAGATCCGCCATGACCGATAACCTGCAGCAAAGTATCAACAAATTATTTAAGTTCAAACAGTTTTTAAGTAAAACGCATTTAACAGATCAAAACTTATTTTGTTTTTTTCTCCAGACTGTTTTTTAGCTTCACAGTCACGGGCGTCTGTCACGCGGAGGAATTTCTAAGAAAACATCCAAGGATTTTTCGGTTCTATTTTTCGGACTTTTGAGTTCTATTAAGCACCAGAAATTAGTAAATGAGAAATTCAGAAATCGGGCTCTGTGAACTCCTAGCCATAGGTGTTTACTGCACACCAAAAACAGCCCGAGCTTTCTATCATTTATCTGGAATGAGAATTCTTGCTCGTGGTAGACGCCTATTTTTGGCCCTCGTTGTAGCGCCCTTCTATGGACGGTGGCAAATGGCGGCAATAGGAATTTCATTACCACACTTTGACATGGTCAACGTTCCCTGAAGGTTCAGTTCAAATCAGACATACCTGGACTGAGGTAGGTTTCTGACCGGTGGGAGGGGAGTGGCTTAACGAACTAATGCATTTAGCTCACCAACTCAGTTTTTACCTATACTTTTGTCAGCAACATTTGAGATCGCAGAATTGTAATCGTCGGCCTCTGTAGAAGTTGCTCGTGCGAATGAACTATGCACAGAAGTGCGTGATTTTGTTTGAGCGGTCAGGGACTCCTAGAACAGACAGAAGAAACAATTCAATGTTGTTTTATGTATTT